TATACTATACTATATATATATATATATATATATATATATATATATATATGTTTTTTTAAATGTTTCTCGAACATTGCATCTGATAAAAATTTAAAGAATTATTTAGCAAAATCGTTTTCAAATTTTTTAAATTCAATTGAAGTAAAGAATTTTAAATTCTTTTCAGATTTGAAATCGAAATTCATCCATCCATTCAAATTAATTACATTCCCTCAACTGATAGTACAACCAATTATTCAATATCACTCGATGATTTATCCCATTCATCTATGGTACCAAAAAATGGATTGTTAAATTATTATTATGTACTAATCATCCTATTTGCACTTATCATCATTGTAATCACAACTATTATCATATTTCGGCGACATTCAAAACATCAAAGACAATTACGTGTAGTGAATGCGCAAAAAAGACGAGAATTAGTTGCAAAAACGAAAGCAGATCTTGAGAAGCAACCTGATTTATTGAGTACCACGGTATGTAATACTGAAAAGAGTCCTTTTTGTTAAACAGTAAAATTTTTTAAATATCATTTTCTATTTCCAAGTTAAGCAATTAATTCAATTAATTACTTTTCCTTTTTCAAATAAAAACTTAATTAACTGCTTAACTTTTTTCCGGTTTATTTTCATCTCATGTCTAACTAATTAATGTATATTTCTATAGATTAGATTAATCCAAATATTTAATTTATTAATTATTCTTTTTCCTTTTCTGCAGCATTAATCAAATGCTTACAAATTAATTTTTACATAATTACTCATCAATCCGAATACTTTTCACTTTTTCTTCTTTCACTGATACATACAATTTACATTGGAAATTTTAAATTCATCCATATTCTGTATAATTACATCTTTCCTAATTAATTTTTGAGACATCCGTCATTAATTGATATTGCTATTCGAAGGATTGTCAACCAAAGAAAAGTCATTGTTAAGATTAGAGTGACCATTGCTACTGAAACAATGGAATGGTAGCGGTCATTCTATACTAATTATGATAATATCTTAGATGAATTAAAATATTAAAATGTTAAAATTTATTTGAATCTTTTATGAAATTTGCAATTATTATAGCAAAAAATTTGCGACTATTAATTTAATTAATTCAAATAATTCATACAATTCTTTGACATTTTATAATTTACAATTTCTCTAACAGGTTTATGCTACAATTGGGCGTAATCGTCGTGAACTACCCGAGAAACGATCTGACCGTTCATTGCAAACATTTGATGGCTCAAAACATCATACATCTTTAATTCAGACACCAATATCTCAACGAACCCAATCCAAACCATTTATTGGTGAATCAATCGATTATCGAGGGTTAAATATCCGAAATACTCCAGAATTGAATAAATCTAGACCGGATCGATATCAATCAACGAGATTAAAAGATAATCAATATTGGGTATAACTGATAATAAACCTATTTTTTCTTTTTTTTTTTTTTTTTCACTTTTCCAATATATTTTACTGTGTATTTGTGCATTTATTACTGAATATTTAAACTAAAAATTAAAAATTCTATCAATTTATAGCAAATTCAATTTCGAATTTAGTTTTTATATTGCAGAAAAAAAAACAATTCCATAAAGTAAAAGTGATCATATGAAAAAAAAAAAATACTGAAAATAAAAAATTTCACATTCTGTTTTCATCGTCTTCATTCAGCAACAATATCAGGATCAATGGTAATTCCGAAAATGGAATGCAACATAAAATTGAATTTTAGGATAAATTTAATTTCTGCTAAATAAATCTTTACCATTTAAACATTTAATTTCGATAATTAAGAAAAATTCTAGTTTATTAGAATTAAATTTTAATGAAAATTTTAAATTCTAGTACATTTCTCGGTGTCTTTTACTTGGAAATATAGTGGTAATATATTTTTTTTAGAAATATAATTTTTTCTATTTTTTTAAATTTCTTTAATTTTTTTTAATTTTTTTAATTTCTTAATTTGAGATAACTTTTTTTTTTAGAAATATTTCCTATCCTAATTTTTATAAACTTCAAATTTATTATGATCAATTTTTGGTTGGGAAAATTACAATTTGAAAGCAGATATGATAGATTAAAATTGAAATCTTTCAAAGTAGAAATATGTTAAGGTTTCTCTCTCTCTCTCTCTCTCTCTGCTTTGGATACTGTAAGGGCTAGTATTTTCTATGTTAATTTCATTGAATTTTTGAAGATTTCGAAATTGTTCGAGAGAATTTCTTTTTAAAATTTAAAAATTTGAAAAAAAAATATTTCGTACAATGAAATGGAACAAGAAACAGAAATTTTCAATTGTTTGGCAATTAAATTTGTACTTATCGCAATTCTGTTACAGTTGATCATTGTCATTATCGGGAAAAAAAACTGAGAAATGCTTGGCCATGGCCATAATGGCCAAGAATCATCTTCTTTCAAGAATCATCTTCTCAATCATTTTCTTAACTCTATTTTGATTTACTTTGAAATGTCTTAAATTCTGAAAATTAAAGTCAGAATTGAATATTATCCATCAAAATAATAATGGATGGATGAAATAGTATCGAAATTCTGATATTAATTTAACGACTAATTGCCGAAACTAAATGTTCCAAATGTTCCAAAGGGTTATCTTATAAAAGAGCCTATTAAAAATTGAAAACATTTCCTAGGGACAAGAAGATAAGTTTAATTCTTAAGGCCTAAATAGAAATATTATTGAAATTTGGAATTCGAAATTCTAGCGTTTACTTCACGATAGACTCTTCAATAATTATTGCAAAGCAACTAAATATCTAAAATTTGTATTGATTTTCAAAGTTTATCAATTTCCAAGTTTTACTTGACAATGAAATATGGTAAATACATTACATGCAAATTTTCACAAATTATCTTTGCAAGAAAAATTGAACTTTCTCAATGGTTATCAAATATTTGCTTTTATATTTTATGAATCAATGATACTGAACCGGAAAATAATGAGGAAATGTTTCAGTAGATATTTAAGATTTCAAAAAAAAAAAATACATTAATAAAATAAATAATATAAAATCAATGATAAAAAGAATCAATAATGTCATGAGGAGTTTTATCAAGAAATTTTTGGAAAATATAATCTAACTGTGGAAATATAGCCGTTAAATATCTTTAAAGTTCTACAAGCTGCAATGCGTTTATTTGATCACTGAAAATATATCAACCGCAATATAATAATAATAATAATTAATAATTAATAATAATAATAATAATAGTAACAATATTAATAATAGTCATAATAATAGTAATAATAATAATAATGATAATAAT